AACTGTACAGAGGATTTTAGTTTCCAGACTGTTACGGGCAGATCAGTGCACTTCAGTGTAGCGGTGCCCATTTACAAGCAAATGATTTTGCCCGTAACCTTTTAGGAGTTAAGACTGTCATTTCAATGCAAGCAAATACATTCTGTAAATGCTACTGTCTTCATTTTAAAGCAAAGGTAAAGCTTAAAAGTAATATAATTTAGGTGCCTAATTTTAGGTTCCTGAGTCTGAAAACTGTCATTGAGAATTGAAGGGGAAAGTATTTGTATTTCATCACGTAAAATGACAGACTTGTAAATGAACGGCCTAATATACTTTCTAAAACATTTAAAATTAATAAAAGGTCTGGGGAAGGTGGGTGTTAAATCGTTTTGAATAGTTTTCACAATGCTCTTGTGTGGTAGGCTGAACTGGATGCTGTCATACAATTAGCACTTCTGTAATGTTTTAATTTCAAAGTGCTACAACATTACCAGCAAGGAAGCTTCCCATTTTATATATAAGGAAACTGAGGCGGAGAGGGGAAATGACTCCTTCAGATAAGACAGCAAGTCAGTGGCAAAGCTGCAGTTAGAACCCAGGATCCTGACAGCTAATCCTCTCTAACCACTAAATGTTCTGCTTCCCTAACTGGCAATAAAGGTAAAGCTTTCCCGAATAATCACAACATGTTGTTTTCTGCTGAATGCAACAAAATGAACCATCTGTAGATAATATGCCATTATTTAATGTCTCTTGGTTTTAAAGAGAGAGATGGATCAAAAACAAAACCTGGGATCTGAGCATTCCCAAACTTTCCCAGATCCAGACTCAAACGTCCCAATTGCCCCCAGGGGTAAAATTCTCAAAACGACCTAATTGCCTAACTACCTCCAAGTGCCTAAGGGCATGGCTACACTGGAAACTTCAAAGTGCTGTCACAGGAGCGCTCCTGCGGGAGCGCTTTGAAGTGCGAGCGTGGTTGCGCTTGAGCGCTGGGAGAGAGCTCTCCCAGCGCTCCTGGTCATCCACCTCCACGAGGGGATGAGCTCCGAGCGCTGGGAGCGCGGCTCCCAGGGCTTGGATACTGTCTACACTAGCGCTTTAAAGCGCACTGACGTGCTGCACTTAGGGGGGTGATTTTTCACCCCCCTCAGCCAGCAAGTTAGAGCGCTATAAAATATAAGTGTAGCCAAGCCCTACGACACTTTTGACAAATTTTACCTTCTAATGAGCCAAACCCAAATCCTGGATCCAGAAAGCTCCAAACTTCGGAGAAGTTTTGATTTGGATCTAAATTCTGTGGCTCAACATATTTTGATGTCATTTTATATCCTCTCACAGCCCTCTAGAATATAGTGAAAGGAGGATTATTGTCTCCACTCTTCATTTTTATGATGTTTTAAAACAATTTCAAATGCTGTTTTCCCAGTTATGATTTTTTCACTCCTCCCCATCCTTTCCAAACCCCATAAAGCAAACTATCCCCTCCCCAGATTTTAGCTACTCCCCTGGCCTGTAAACAGGTTAAACAAACAGGGAGATTCCTCAAGAGAAGTCACAGGTTCAAGATCACAAAGGATGACCGGGCATATGGGCCATTTGGAGGTTTTTCTTCCTATTGTGCTTATCTGTATCTTTGCTGTCATCCAGACGTTAACCTCTGACCTACAAGCCTGCCTCTCTAAAAAGCCTTGCAGTGTTTACCCATTATGTAATGTCTGTGCTTTTGTGGAAATTTTACAGAAACAAATGGAGGAAGTTTGCCAGTCAAACTAGTGGACAATAAATCCTGTCCCATGTAGATAGAGTGGTTTACTGTCACCATAAACCCCATACTTCCATGTCACAGAAGAAATGTTTTCAGATTTCAAAACATTAAAGTGACATAAATGTTCCAGTACTGAAGAACAAGGCAAGTTTTATATTATCATTATTTTTATTAGATAGGAGAATTTACAAATTAATTTTTACTTGCTAACCTAATGATTGTCTATGTTTCAGATAATGGCAAGGCCAATAAAGTCCCATACTTAGTACTGTAACATTTTTTCTGTCTCCTCATTAGTGCAGGTCTGAAACACTTGGTTTCAAATCCTAAAATGAGTTTGCAGTTTATAACATTTTCACTTCAAATGCCTTTCCTCAAAAATACTTCATTGTAAGTCGCTGATTATTTGGAGTCAGTCTTTAGCAAACTGCTTTCAGGATTGTAGATTGCATCTTTATAGGTACATTATTTTGTTATCTTGTTCTCCCACCCTCCCTCTGCCCATTTGTCTGTTTGTCCTCTTGCTGCCTCCTGTCTGCACGTACATTGCAAGTGCCCTGGGGCAGGGACTATCGTTTTGTTATCCCTATTTGTCAGTACAATGCCTAACACAATGGGGTCCTGATCTTTGAGGGGGGGTTCCTAAATAATAAATAAATAAATAGTAACAACAACAACATGTTGTTTTAGATCACATGTAGAAGCAAATACATTTTCAATCAGTAGTGGAGTGGGCAAAAAGAAACGCAATCTTCCTGTCTTCATATACTCCACTTTTTGGTTGACTCTCCTCATTAAGGACCTCTTTCTGCTCCCTCTGAAAGGAGATTTACTCTTGACGTTAGTGAAAACAGGATCGGAACTCAAAGTCTTGTTATAATTAAGTTTTATAAATCTCATTTCCTTTCAGCGGAGAGAAAACACATTGTTGTGACTAAGCTTTGGATGTGGTAACAAATCCCTGGCAGGTTAGTTTGTTTTAATGGACACATTACTTTTAAGGAAACTTTTACCATTTTTTCTTGCCCTTAATCATAGCTTTTATTGCAATTGCAGTAATTCAACAGATGTATGTGCCAAAGGTAATATGTGTATTTTTAATGAGTCGACACAAACTTCCTGGAGAGGAGAAACAAATTCATTTTCAGAACATTTTTGAATCATATTTAATAGCTATTAAAAGGACAGGGGAGTTGATCAGAACAACATTTATGACAGTTTCATATGCTACACTAGTTTACAGATGAGTAGTTACATACAACAGGATTTAAATAGGCCAGATTGCTGAGCTAAATATTTTTTTGCTGAACTGATGACCAAGCTATGGTCCTTTTTTCTTTCCTGCTTGTGAACCTACAAAAAAGACCTACAGGTTTGATCCTGTAAAACCGAACTTGTTCGGGTAGCGGTAACCTATGCGTGTAGTTCCTTTGAAGTCAGTGGGCCACATAGTGCCATCAGTTTCCAAACTGCTGAAATCAATGGGGAATTCTGCTTAAAAACGGATGGCGTGATGCAGCCCACTGAACAGTCACATGAGTAAGACCCACTTACGTAAGGGCTTGCAAGACTGCCTTCAGAGGACCACACCCACAGCTGGTTTAAATCAATAAAGTGAATGGAGTGACACCAATTTTACACCAGCTGACGAGCATGTCTTAAAGCTATAAGGTTGGACATCCTTGGCTGTTTATATCTAAATCGTCTCTTTGCATGGGAAGATGTTAGATAAATTAAAGCAACTAGTGCACTTAGCACGATATAAACTACTGTAATACAGAGATGTTCGCATCCTAGAATTGAGTTCTTGCCACGGCTGGAGTACTGAGGGAAGGAACACAGAAATATACTGTGACCTTATATTTACTTCCTATGTTGATAATAACTCCTGTAAAAGATGACATGCCCCTTACCTAGAGAACAATGTTTAGTAACTCTGAGCCTAATTCTGTGAGGTTCCAAGTACTCCCATTCCCCTATAACTTGATTTATTTAACTGCTTACTTGGGACTATATATTACAATTTGTTGTTGAGGACAGTGCATTTAGCACTGTCCAGAACAGACAACAAAGACATTCCCTGTCCAAACACTTTACGATCTAAGGCCGTGATCCTGCGAATGATGATCGAGTGCAGACTCTTCCACCTGCACAGAGTTGCACTGCAGTGGGACTCGGTCTACCCTGGTACAGCTCTTTGCAGCACGGGGGTCTAAACAATCTCTTAGAAGGCAGGCCACACTGGGAAGTCTAGGTGTCAGATAAGAATGTCTCTAAAAGATTACTATAAAAAATCAGAATTCACTTCTTTTGATCACCGCATGGCAGCTTCTATATCAAAGTGTTTTCAAGCGTTAATGTATTGAAATAATGTGGGAAACACCACAATATGCTTTGATTTTCATTTTGGAATTCTCAGCAGAATTTGGGTGAATAATTCCCTACCTGAAATCTGCTTTTGTCCATAGAAGATGTGTAAAGTTTACATATGCATTTTATTTTATTTTATAGTATGCCACAACATATGAAGAATTTTGATTTTCTGTCTTTCTTTGGAGAATTTTAAAATTCATATGTGTAAAGCATCAAAGAAATTCCTCATGGGTGTAAAGTTACTTATGTGTGTAAATGTCAGCAGGATTTTCTTTTCTGCATTTAATAGCACCCCGTTAAGAACTTTGTAATGTTAATTACAGCCAGAAAGAAAAAAATTGACCATCAGTGTCAAATGTCCAAATTTTCATTGTCCAAACTGCGTGAAGTGAAAAAAGTAAACAAAAACTCAAAAGGTGTAAAGTAAATTATATTTTAAAATGCGTTCTTTTTAATAATGTATGGTGTTAATAGTACAGGTAAAGATATTCTTTTAAAATATATTTTGGGGAAAATATAATGTTTAACCTAACAGTCTCCGTTTAAGAAAATAATTTTTCAAGACATCCAACCACTTCATTCACTCCCCGGTTCTGAAAAGGTCCTTAAAACTCCAAATACTGTGGATCATTTTATGGATCAATTCAGAGCACTGTTTTATGACCAGGTTCAAATTTCCCTGTATCCTGTCCAGAATTCTTAACTTGAGAAGAGAAAAGGACTTTAGGACACATACAAATCCTGCCTCTCTTTAAAATTTGTTCAGAGATTTGTTCCTGTTTTAACATCAAGTTCATTTGATGCCCTATACAGCATGCTAGGTTTGTTGAAGCAGTTGGATAAAAAGTAGATATAGTAAAAAAAATATTCTGCTCACCAACACAATCCACACTGAAGAGATTTAGGGAGGTAACTATTGAAGCTTCATCAGGACATTTCAATCCTCGCAGCACAAACCGCACCATGGAAGTTTTGACTCTTTCCGGGAGAAATGACAGCAGGTAGACTGGCATGTACAGAATGTACCGAAGCTTGCACAGCACAGGTGTCAGGAGCTTGCCTTGCGGGGACTGAGCCATGCGCTCTATTGTTGGAAACAGCAGCACAGAGCGGAGAACCTGCACAGAAAGAGACCGTCAGGAAAGTCCTCTAGCACCGTATCAAATTCTGGAAGAGAGATTTTTTTTTTTTAATGAGGCTTATTTTTAAGTAAAGTGAAGTTTGTCAGATGCACTATTAACTTGCAAAGATATTTATGTGCTACATGAAATGCCAGTTTTTTTGGAGGGAGCAAATAAGGGCCTGATTCTGCAAGATACTGAGAGGTCTCAACTCCCATTGACTTTAGTGGGACTTGGAGGTACTCAGCATGGTGCCAGATCGGGCTCGAAGTACAATTTAGAAGCGAGTGCCCAATGCTTTGAACATAGTCAATTGTTACGTAGATATGACGGTGATACCACAAGAGGGCAGTACACAGGAAAAGTCTTTTTTTGTGTGTCTATGCAGGTTTTTTATTCTCATAATTTTATTTGATTGTTTCCTATGGGAGAGAACTGATTTTTCAAAATCATAGCTATCACATCATGGTCTTTTCAGTGGGTAGTGCAACTACAGAAAGGTTGATCAAACCATAGTAAAGTGGGGCTATGACTACAGTTAAAACAAGATTATTATAGTTATTTATTAGTTTTACCAATAAATAGCACCTAACAGCCATGGTCATGGCCCAGGACTCCACTGAAGAATGTTGCATAATACAGGCCACAATATTGTACTGTAACATACGTATCTTTAAGCTGCATGGTGATTTGAGCTCATAGGGACTGAAAACACTCTGATCTCAAACTAAAGAGAAAAAACAATATGAACCAACCATTAAGTGGAAACATTTAACTTATGCCTATTTTTAAATTCTATTTTATTGAGGAGATTGTACAAATATTCTTAGAGAATATATGATAGAAATCTACTATGAGATGTTACTCCCTCTACAAGTGCCTTGGACTATCACATGAGCTTTCATTTAGGAAATACCTGTAAAGATACATAGTTGCAATAGCTGGTAGTAGTATGAACAAGGCAGACTAAGACAAAGATATTATGGCCATTAAAGTGCTAGGTAATTATGGGAGACTTGCTGTGTTTCACAACGTACTCTGCATAAATGCAGAAGAGGCAAACAGTTACTTCTGCCCAGTTATCAGACTGTCCAGCTTTCCAAGGATTCTTTTAATTATTCCACATATTGTATGATTTAGGCTGGGATTTTGCTTTTAAATTAATTATCTTCCCAATCTATTAGACCTATATCCTGCAAACTGCTCTGCAAGGGCGGATACCTAGCCTACGTGGAGACCCACTGACTTCAGTTATGGCTTGATGGTCCAGCCATGCAGAGTAACTTGCAGGATCAGGGCCTTATAAGGTAACAAAAGAAATATGGAAAATGCCAGTAATAGCCTACAATATATTTTCTATACTATATTTAAGATAGGACTTTGAAAGGGTTATTTATGTCGAAGGCACAAACATTTTAAGACTCCCTACACTTTTTCAGCTGAGAGACTACCTTGATTTCAGACAAAGGAAAATATAGTCTCAGTGAAAAATCAATCCTGGGCCTCTTTTTATTAAAGGCAACCAACAGCTGGCGTATAGGAATGCAACTTGTACTAAATTATGTGGTAGTTTTGTGATATTTCAGTTAGGCGCTGAACTCAAACTCTTGTGATCTAAAGCAGATTTGACCCATGTTCTCAGCCACACATTAATCCTATGCCATTACAGTTTATAGATACAGGATTAGCTGCTTTGAGAGAAGTTGCTAAAGCTTAGACACAAGAGAAGGAAAAACCTAGAAAGCAGTTATGTCCCTTTCTCTCCTGTACTGTGCTGCTACTGATATATATATATTTAAAAAATTGTACTGTATCAAGTTTAAAAGATGGAGCTATGAGGTATTTAAGGGCACATTTCTTTTTCTTTTTGTGTGTGTTCTGCACATAATATAAAGAGAGCTTTAAAATATATGTATTTCTCAACCACTCATCAACTGTTCATTAGCTCTCTGCTAGCATCCAGAATCCCAGATTTGTTTAAAGGCACAGTTCAATTTTAACTTACTTGCAGATAACATGAGGATAAAAATGACAAAAATATAAATGATGACTTAAATTCTTATTGTGTTGGTACAAATATTCATAGGAGTAATATGCTGCTTCTGTTCCATGCAGAATCTGCATTGGAGTATACATTTACCTTTATTTTGAATGTATACTTACTGCAACTAATCAGAATGCAAATATCTAATATCTACCGTGCTTATGATATTTTAAAGTGTCAAGAACACATCTCACACTATATACAGAATACTACATTTACACAAGTAGAATATACTAAGAAGAAAAGATATAAATACTTTTTATGCTACTAAAATAACTAAAACTTACAGAGCCAGCTTTTAAATGTCAACCAGGCATTTTGACGATATAAAGCACTGTATAAGTGCTAAGTATTATAATTACTATTATCAGTATTAACTAAAGCATATAGGTTAACTTGTCTCTCAGTGTAAGGAAATCATTCTGCATACTTTGGGAAACAGATTTCTCATGGTACCAAATCAACCAAGACACACAGAAAATATTATTACATAAATAGGCAGTAAGTCTAGTGGTTAGAGCAGGGGACAAACATTCAGGACTCCTATGTGCTATTCTAGACTCTGCTGGTGACTCTGTGAATCTCCTTGGTCAAGTCACTTAACCCTTCATGCCTCTGTTTGCCTATATGTAAAACGGTCATTATACTCTCACACTTTATTGGAGTGTCATGATAATAAAATATAAAGTGTTTTATGGTCCTCTGTTGAAAGATCCTGTGAAGGTGCACTGTTTCAACAATAGAAATGACACATGCACTTGCAAATTAAAAGTAAGTTATGTGAAATTTTAAATACAGATTTTTCTATCTGGTTTTGCTCCCAGCCAGCCTGCTGTATGCGTTCACCATCAACTTCTCACTTAAATAGCTAAGGCTCAAAGACCTGGATGGTTCAACCGATTGGTAATAGGATGCAGATCCTTTCACCTTCTGGTGTCCAATATAAATCTTGATAGCAACTGCAAGTTTTTGCCATCTGTCAGCTCTTTCATGGTATATATGAAATGGACTGATTTCCTAGTCCAGTTCCTAATTGAGTGGTGTGCATATCACTAATAGAAGCAACTGGCAACCTTGCTGGTAGCATGAACTGGGAGGCCAAGGAATGAACTGGCATAGAACCTGATTATATTTCACCATATGTCCCTCCAAAACAGATTGACATTAGCAGGGAAGTGTGGGGAGGTTTCCACTGCCACTGCCTATGAGATCTGGTGTTTAATACTATCAGTTCATAGCTTTTCAAGTACATGTATGTCACATTCCAGGAAGCAATCCAGACCAGTGAGAGGTTGTGTTACCACCTGTCCTGTAACCCTGGGTACCTGATAATGCTTTGCTGTGGTATATCCCAAGCTGGGACACTCACAAACAGCCAGACTGCATGCTGGTCACACCCTGAGTGTCTGTGTATAGCTACAGTCCTGGCCCAGCAGTTCTGACCCCAGAACCTGTTAGCAACACTCCAGTCATACTCTTACTTCCACCAGCCTGGGTTACTACTTACAGGGTGGCCACAACACACCCCCAGTCCCAAATTTTCTCCAAAAATATGTGTTCTTCACTATCCAGCCTTCTTCTGGGCTGTTCAGATATTAAAGGTATGTTGTCTCTCTAAAGGGTCAATATTCAACAGCTTGCTACTTTAACTGGAGTTCCCAAACAGTTCAGTTTAAACACAACACAGGATTGGTTTAGATTAAAATATGAAACAAGTTTATTAACAAAAGAAGATAGGATGTTAAGTGAATTCAAGTATCAGATATTAAAGTCAGAAAGAGTAACAAGAGAAATAAAAATAAGTTTTAGCTACTACAAAGCACTTTAACAAGCTAGACTTGGTTCAAGGTAAAATCCTTACCACAGGTTCCCAGCAATACAATACGGCTGACCAAATTCTGAGGTCAGGATTTCCCCCCAAAGTCAAAGGGCTGGTTCCTTTGTCTTCTCAGGTGAGTGAGTCAGAGTGAGAGATTGGGGTGTTTTTGCCCCTTCAGTTTTATAGTCCACTCACCCTTTTGAAATGCATTTTCCTGGGGTTTACCCCTAAATAAAGTTCATTCCAGCTGTGAGGACAGAGACATGGAGTCTTGTGGTGAAAGAGGTTCCATGTTGTTTGCTAGAATGCAGAGCAATCTGTTCCTGCCCAGCTTTGTTGCCAAAGAATGGACACTTGACAGGTTATTGCCAATCAACTTTGATGGCACCAGGCTAGAGCAGTGGTTCCCAAACTGGGATTTGTGAACCCTTGGGGGTTCGTGAAATGTTACAGGGTGTTCTCAGGAAAAAATTCCCTAATGGCGGACAGAGCTGTCCCTTGGGACCCCGGGCAGCATGGGGCCAGAAGCCTGAAGCCCCTGGACTTCCAAGAGCTAAGCATATCAAAGCAAGCATATCTATCACACTGAGGAGATTTAAACTTCAAGACTTCTTATAAGAAATGGAAAGGGAGGTGGATATTTTTTGTGGTTTTTAAAATTAAGTAGGCAGCTAGTACTGTTTTTAAAATTATCATGAAGAACAAGTTTAAGTTTTGCTGTAACCTGCGTTGTTTGCCCGGACTGCTCAAGACCTGAATGCTTGTGTAGGAGGAACTCTTTGAGTTGGCTTCTTAAATAGCTTCATGCTGTTTCACATCTGATACTCCTTGATGAACCATAGGAGCCTTGTCTTGTAACAGGCTTATTCAAAGTGATACAGTACAAGCTATGAAAGTGAGATCTTGGAAGACTGCTGCCATTCTCATAATGTAATAAAAATACTGTAATGATTAATAATAGTGTGTAATAAGCATGTCATAAAACAAATTTTATATTTCCAAGATCACTGCTTTTATAATTTATACTCAGGTAAAGGAGAAAATCCCTGAAAATATTCATTTTTAGGAGGGGGTTCGTGAGACTTGACATTTTAGTGAAAGGAGTTCACAGGCTGTTAAAGTTTGGGAACCACT